ATACCCGACGACTATGAGTTCGGGAAGAAATTTTGGGATGTAGCTATGGAGTTTGTGGCCGATGGTAGTGTCAAAGTGCATCCCCCTAGAGTTATGTCTGGTGGTTTGGCAGGGGTTTTGGACGGGTTGGAGTTGTTACAAAAGGGGCTTGTTAGTGGGGAGAAACTTGTTTATAATGTCTGAGCCTCAATAGACNAAAGATAAATTAGTAGTCTATCAGCTTCGTCGCTTCTAAGAAATTGTTTATACAGCCGGTTGATAACTATATATTATTGCTAGTATTAATGCAGAACAGGTAGTTGAATATAAATAANAGATAGCTAGTTAAGAACTTCATTAGCATGCAAAATGTGTTACGGTGGACAATTNATAAAACATACAAAATCAAGGCAGGGATAAACTAAGACGCCACATACACATGTGGTGTACGGAGGAGCGCGTCAAAAGTCTTCGCGACAGGGGTACTAGCCCGGCCCTTGTCAACCACTAACAGTTTCACAATCCCTATCCGCGTGCAGTGTATCATCACACATACATTCGCAATGAATACTCACGCCTTGCGCGGCACGCAATCTTCAAATTCTGATATCCTTTCACAACAATTAGAGTTATTGTGTTATTCAAACTCGCGCAGTATCCACAACTGGTTGTAGGCCGTCTTCGCGGCGCATAACCTGTTGGAGAAAGGCCGCGCCGATGCTGCGCTGCAACATTTGCGAGCTACCTGCCGCACAGCAGAATCGTGTCCAGCCGCTAGGATATAGACAGAAATGATGCGAGATAACAAATAATCTAATGCGCGGGTAACGAGATCGAAGAGTCGTCGGCGATCCATTAGAGATGAGATTGTATCGGTGGAGGTAAATGTTGAGGCGTTGCATATCGCGGAAGGAAGCGAGGGAGAGCAAAACATGGAAGACATAGGCAACACTTGTACTGCAAAACATCTTCCCTCAGAACTACGGATGCTCAAACAGCCCGACCTCACCGTTCTACCGTCTACCACATCCGCACATCGCTAGATATCCGCCAATACTCAATCACAGAGCTCCCGGTCTTTTCGTACACCAGTAGATACTGAGAGCGTTATTACCGAGACGACAGTCACATCCAGCTCGAGTAGGAAAGCGACGAGCAGGTCTAAGAGCCCAGTAAAGAGCATGGTCGATCCCAGCTTGCTGGATCGCAGGGTGAAGAGGATGCATTTGGAAGAGAAGAATTATCCAGACACAATACAACAGCTGGTGCGCGAGGTGGAAAACATAAGAAGGGGAAAAGGTGTGATACCGCATGAGATCAGGTCTGATATTGAGGGACGTGTGGAAGCAGAGGATTGGTGGTGGAGCTAGACACCTAACGCGCTGCCGTCAAATGGGAAGATGTTAGAGTTGCAGATCATGGAAGAGATAAGAGATAAGTAAGACTCACAAGTTGCAGGATTCGGATGCTGCCGAGCCGCGCTGGAATAGCGACATGCACTTCATGATGCTGCGCCAGGTGTGCATGCACTTGCCAGGTATTCAACAACAGAACATTACATCAGCCCGGCCAAATCCCCACCTTGTCCCAAAGACCGGGTTCAGTAACACGGAATCTAAGCTAATTGATTACGCTTTGGTCTGCGACGAGGGTTTGATCCCATCACATCTTGTCCAGCAGGTGCTTGCGGATTCATGCAACGAGATTGATAGTATCAACCACACAAGCGCGAGCGTACAAAGTTTGAGACAAGACCATATCGCGGTTTCCATCGAAACAAAAACCCCAAACGGCAGCGAATCAACTGCGCTGGCATAACTCCCGCTTTGGGCAGCGACGCATTTCAACCGCCTACGCACCTTGCTACGACCCACCAAACGCGACGTAGTTTCCATGCCGTTACCACTGATTATGCCAGTTGGTGGACGGTACAGTTTGTTCTTCGCTATCGACGGCACAATCACGGAAGGTATCACTATCGCAGGCGGCGAGACAGCATTCAGAGACTGTGCGACGCTGGATGGATGCTACCAAGTCCTTGCAGGCCTACGAGCAGTGGGGATATGGGTGAAAGAGGTGTGGGTGCCGTGATTTCTCAGTGAGTGTCTGGGCGCCGAGATCGAACATTGAATAGAAAAGAACATTTGTTGTCAACAGCGATCTATTCGATGCTGGCACTACCCTACTTGAAAAGGTTGATAGAATGAGAACGTAAAACAGGGACAGAAAAGCACATGACACTAAACTTAGACGGAAAGCGCATAGTAGTTATAGATATTTACAGCACATCCTCCCTAAGCAATCACGGCCTGCGTCTTGGATGAGCAACGCTAGCTCTTTAGTCGAATACAGAAGGCAATGCTTGATAGAAGTGGATTTAGCTCGAACTAGATCTCTTCCGCTTCATACCGCTTCTCGTCATCATCATCCTCATCTTCTTGTGCCTCAGTTGCAGCTCCACTAGTACGGTATGAATTGACCACACTAATATCAACAGCACGGCTGGTCACAAAGAACGCATGGTCGATATCCAGTGAACGACCCTGGCACATGTAGCCAAGCGGGGTGTGCATGATGTCTTGACCTCTGCGACGAAGGGAAGTCCACTCCAGGATAGAGCTGATTGTTTCGGTAATTGTTGCATCAGATCGCCCATTCATCTTGACGTCATCGATATACTTTACTAGAGAAACACATTCCTCGTACTCCATGTACAACCGGCCTGCAAAGATACCAAGCTCAATGGTGAGGCTTTGCGGAATGATGTGCCCACTTTCAAGTGCCGGCACAGAGTAGTACCGTAGGCGACTGAATTGTAGCATCTTCTTTGTGACTGGTGCTGAGTACGTGAGAAGATGGACTTTGGGCGGCAATGCTTGAGTGCGAATTTGGGGGATCAAAATCTCTGCTTCCTCGGCGATGATGATGATGAGTGCGTCGAAAGTGATAGGATTGTAAAGAATCCATTCAACGGGACGCTGATGAGATAATCAGTACATCAGCCAGACGCGAAGGATGACGAACTCACCAGAAAGTTATCAATCAAGCCGCCTTTGTCAGTCTTGATCGTCTTCATGAACTCCACTGAGACAAACAAGCGGGATTTTGTTCCTACAATGCCAAACCTCTCGCCGATAGATGTGCGTGAAATTGCATCAAAAATGTGTTCATATCCCACGTCCCCACACAAACGACCAGTACTAACAAAGCTAGAGATGGCGGGATGAATTCCAGGGAACGTATGGGCTTTACAATCTAAGGCTTTCTGCACCTCACGCACCTCTTCGATTTGATGTTCCACCTCGCGTTCTTGTTCTACCTCCTCTAGCGCAGAGGAATGAAGGATATCTGCTGCGTTCGACATGGACAGACGCAAATGGTTGAGGGTTTCCTTGAAAGTTTCGAGCTGGGGAAACGTGGTCGTAACAGAGATCGGGCCATGGGTATGTTCCGTGTAGCCTCCATATAGCTGTTCAAGTGTGTGCTGTTCAGGGTGCTGGAGCACCTCGACATATGCAGTCCTGTCTTTGACATCAGAGAGGAAAGCTGCGTCCTCCCACTCTGCATTCATGCGATTACAAAAGTCAGTACCCTGGGAGATATATAGATTTTGAAGCTGTTCATTCGTACGGCACGTCTGTTCCAACAACCAACGAATGACATGAGAAGAGTTGACTTGGTCGTCTTCGTTCATTTCACAAACGTCAAGGATGGACTGATGAGTTTCTGGAAATGCAAAGAAACAAACTGATTGAGTAGTCGCAAGCTGCCGAAGGCGCATGGCAGCTAGATTCAACGTCAGTATCCACACCTTGTAAATCAAATGTTCCTACTGACCTTGCACAGTATGATCTTTCGTCTGCCCTAGAGCAAGTGTCAGCGCACCACAAGCATATTGCGGCAGCTTTAGATCTATGCCCCGCGTGTGCGCTTCATCTAGGTACACGAGACAATTGTCTAGATTGTCGACGAATGGCGTCGCCAGCAGGGGAACTCGCGCCTTGGTACCACGATATCGCACCCAGGCTCTATTGTCAGTGCCAAAATAGACAGCTGCTGGTGGCTGAGTATCTATGTCCATCCACGCCTTGACCAAGTCTTCGTTGCTCATTTCGAGTATGTAGGCGCCAGAATCGATGAGAATGCGGATATTCCTATCCCTGAGTTGTTCAAGAAACTCTGTTTCGGATAGTCGCTTTCCTGCATGAGCTACAAGCTGGTATTCACAGTTTCGTTCTTGCAACAAGTAAGTAAGTACTTCAGCATTAGTTTGATGCAAACTTGGCAGATCCCTCTGCTGGATAGTGAGTGGTAGCATCATCTTGTTATCGTTGGTGCCGCTGAAACCAGTCGTCCTTGCATGTTTAGGTGACTTGTCCAATCCTGTTCGCGAGAACAAAGGTAGATCCCATCCAGAAGCCTGTAGCTTGATGTCGAACTGTTTGGCGTGCGTGGGAAATACAAAACGGTTCATGTAGCTGTCGAGCACAACTCTGTTCATTCGAAGATGCTTCCAGAGTTCTCCCACTTGATCATGGTCATCGGAATTGATAACGTTCCAATGATGCAAAGCCTCCGGAAGCGAATCGCAACTGCTAGTCCACCTGTCGTACTCTCTAGCAGGGTCATGTGATGCCAGAACATGACGAAGAGCTTCACGGAATTGGATCAGGCTGAGACCGGTGTAATAGAAAGCCAAGCATGTGAGAAGGATCGCGGCGTCAGGATGCCCAAATTCAGCCTGCTCGGAAGGAATGCCTTTTGCTTCGAAGGGCACTGCCATCGGATCTCGCTTAGGGTGTAACCCATACTGGACATTCCAGCGTTTTTTTAGACAAAAAAGCAGGATCCGATTACGTAGCAGACCCCGAACAAGCAATAGCGTTTTTAGCGCAACGTTCTCATCGGTGAACAGCTTAGCCATACGCTCCAACAGCTTATTGTCCAAATTTTGTTCTAAGAGCACTTTACGCAAGCTCGCATCGCATTTGTCTGGATCACATTCTGCAAAGCGAAGGAATGATGTCCTTCCCGTACAAATTTCGTCGACTATACGTCGGTGAAGATCTTCCTCCACGTCTGCTTGGAGGATGTATATCACCGGATAACCCTGACCACGCCTCAGGACTTCAATTTTGCGCGGAAATTTCCGTTCAAGCTCGGGAAGGTGATCGTTCACAAGCGACAGCAGCGATTGCGCTACTTTCCAGCGGTGCGGGTGTCCATCCACTGAAGTCTGCTTGCCGCTCGGGTAGATGAGTTGAGTTTTCACTGCCAATGAAACATCTGATTCATCTAGGATATCCCTGCAAATCGAGTTGAGATATGCCTGGAACTCAAGCATTTTTCTTGCAGTCCCTAAGTTGGAGCTGGCAAGATGTTGAAGGCCACTAAGCTTGTAGGAGAGAAGGTGTTCAGGCGCAACCAACAAAACGCCCCGACTCTCTAACGTTTCCTGATGGAGGTCTCTGTATAGCTGAAGTGTTTGTGGGTCGGTGTTGGTTCTACGGGAGAAAGGAACGTGTCGTATCTCGCGACCTACTATGCCGCCCAGTCGTGATTGAATCATTTGCGCGGTTGGGAAAAGCAATGGCTTTGGTACGATGAGACGCGAGAGCTGCTTGCCATTTCCTATCACCGCCATTGCCATAGGAACAATACACGATGTTTTGCCTGTTGTTGATTGTCAGGGAGTCCTTTGTGTCTACAATGTTCTTGACTTACCTTTACCCATATTCAACTGCAACACCATGTTGTCCTTCGAATCTGGCGCAATAATTGCATGTGCAACGTCAACCTGCTCATGCCGGATCAAAATATCACTATCAATCTCTAGGAGGAGCCAGTCAGGCAATTCCAGTGGACTCCAGTTCTCGTGGCCGAAATTTCCAAGTTCTTCTTGTAAGCTTCTCACCTTGCCATGATACAACGCATCGTGAATCCGCATCAGTCGCTGCAACTTTGTGATAAGAATACCATGTGACACGATTGTCTCTTTGGTTAAATCTCCAAACTTGCAAGACGAGCTCGAGCGCAGTTGCTCTAAAAGCACGATCGAAGTCGTGCAAGGCCAGAGGTTTCCAAGTTTTAGCCATGGGAAGCGGTCGTCGTTCTCAGATAAAGTCTCGTGGATCTGACACAAGTGAGTGGCTACCATAGTTCGGAGGTCTTCGATGCATCGTGCGTTGGCTGTGATGTTTGAAGTTGTGTGCGAAACTTGAGTATGATTACTGGTTTTCTCAAGGGCGTCAAGGCTCGTCTTCAGATCAAGCCCATACTGCTGGCGGAGAGAGCTCGATGCCTGCGCAAAAACGGAAAGAATCTGGCGTAGCTCAACAGCCTCTTTGTTTGGAATCTTTTCTCTTGTGTTTTTCTTCTTATTGGTAAGAGATTTAGTGTCAATTGGTAGTCGCTGCTCGTACACCTGGCGTCCAAAAGGTAATGTTAGCGATTTACTAAGAAGATCTTTCGAGATTGACGGTACAACAGGATCGCGTGATTTCTTTTGGAATGGTTCTTGTTCCCAATCCCAACCTTTGGGGTTTGATGTATCGCCTTGTCCTTCATGATATCGCAATATCTCCTGCACATGAACTACATACTCTGAGAGGGATGAGTTTGAATGTAAGCGCTCCCACTCAGGGATGACGCGTTCCATTGCAAGCCCTACATCTATGACGTCAGAATCGAACCCGCTCAGAGAAATTTCCTCGTGTGACCATTGATCCAGGAAATGCTGCGCCAATCGTTTGCCCTCAGCTTCACATGCCCTTCAATGCTCTTTTTCGGCCCTTGTCTGCATTCCCTGACGCTTCTCCGGTAAATCGACAGAGATTACGTGAAAGATGGATTGCATACTGGGCAATTCGTTGAGCTTAAAATGGCTGAATGAAGGAAAGGAGGGAGGCATTGAGTTCCTCAACGTCGGTAGAGCCGCAAACGCTGCCAGGATCTTAATGGTATCCAGGTCAGTTTTCGGGTTGAGCGACATGAGACTTAGGCGAAACATCAAGCTGTAGGGTTCTTCGAGATTGGAATGGCGACACATGTTCACAAGACTGCCCCACTGTTCATCGACCCTCTTCTCAACTATGTCGCTCAGGCTCGCGGCGCTGGCCTGGCGTATCTCATGAAACCCGCCGATGAGCTGCCAATCCTGCAATATGGTAGAAAGATCTCGATTTGTGTGAACTTGGAATGGTTTGTTTTGAAAAAGGCTTGTAATATGATAGACTTTGCGTGCTTGTCCCGAATTGGCTTGCTGGCCACGAGACTTGTACATTCGATCACTAGCTGCTGCCCAAGTTGGATCGCCGACACTGCGCTCGTAGACGCGACGCTGTGCAAGCCCCCGTTTCCGAAGGTGAGATGGGATATATGCATTGGTGTTGACACTGTCCACTACATTCTGAGCAAAGACCCGAAGACGGTTCGACTTGTCGAGTATCTTCTGCACAAGCCCTTCGTATGCATCCTGCTGGATGGTCATGGTAAATCTTGCATTCCAGGAAACAGTTTGAAGGACTTTCTTGTCTTGGGGATAGTATACCCGTTTTGGACTAAGATCTGAAATCGATTTCAGAACGTTGAGTGGTCCTCCTCCCAACGGCTCCCATGGCTGGCAATGGCCCGATTGGAGCATGTGCAACGCCTCCTCTGTGCCCGTACGGCCAGTTAAAGGATCAGGTATACCAAATGATGTATAAGCATGAAACTGAGCTTTTGCGTATAGAAGTCTCGGCTCAGGAGGGCACGACAAACGCCCAAGCACATCATCAATTCCAAATTTTGCATAATCAGTGCTAGCAGCTGCTCGGATGGCTACATGCATTCCATGGTGTGTAGCAGATATTGGTCCACATGGTGCTAGGATGCTGCGGCGTGTGTTGTTTGCGACGTCGCGCAGTACGATTTTGCTCTCGAAACCGTATAGTGTGCCAGCGTCTTGATTGGGATCAATTTCTTCGTTCAGCTCTCGACATTCAAGAAGCCCTTTTTGGTTCACGAAGAACGAGAGTTCCAAATGGCGTAGTTCCGCAGATAGCTTTCCCCTTGAGTTGATAGGCTGAAACATGGTAATCTTCTGTGAATCTTCAAAACCGCGAAAAATGTCGGCCACTTGCTTGGAGACGGAGGAGTTAGGATCGACTAGTAACGTTCGATTGCTTCGATGAGCCTGTCGTTTAATAAGGTCTATCTTCCAGTCGCTTGCCCTTGTCTTCCACAGGAAAGGCTTGCGTCGGATCTCAAGGCACTTTGTATTTAGATTTAGCCAATGCGCACAGTTGGAGATGAGTCCATCTGGAAGGTCGAAAGTCTCAGGTCCGATGAAAAGGTGAGACGGAATGTATTCCTGCAGCCCATCCCGACTCCAAGCACGGATGATGACGCGCCCATTTCGAGAACCAAAGTGTATCTCGTGGTTTCTTATACGCGACGCTAGAACGTATGACATGCCAAACTCAGCAGACGGGAATGTGAGGAGATGTTGATCACCAAAGAGCTGTTTCACTTCATCTGACTCTCGAAAATCGCGCGGGAGTCTTCCCAACGGCTTGCCATCGACTAGCAAGTGACCTTCGAGAAAGTTGTAGTGGACCACTTGCGTGTTTATTGGGTTCTCCGCCATAGACTTCATAGCACTTACTACCCATCGATCATGCATGGATGAGGTTTGCTGCCAGCTACTGAAGGATCTTCCCGCTGAACTTCCCGGTTCTGACCATGATGCGTTGATCGCTATACTAAGGCTCTGAGGATGGGCTCTTATGGACCTTAGTAAGAGTGATTTGATTTTATAAGTTGTTTTGGTGTCTCGAATCAACATCCTTTTGAGAGTCGGCGGTAGCTTTGCCACGTCCACGAGGAGGTTTTCTTGGAGAGCCAATGATGCTTGTAAGGGGCTGCGCTCTAGGGAGCAATCGCGAGGTATACAAGAGGTTGTATTCGATGAGGAGCTATCTACTC